CAGACTCGGTAAAAACATATCAACGTGCTTTGATTATGGATAACCCAACACCTGAAATGATTAATCAGGAAATGTTGGAGTTTTTGAATTATGTCCGAGCACCTTATAAACAGCGGAAGAGTTTTTTACGTTTTGATTTAGCAGAAATGCAATCGGCCGATAATGAGCAGTTTAATCAGAAACTCGGACAGTTATTGGATCGTGTCGATGGTTTAAAAACCAATACCTTGATTCTTAAAGCCGTGTCAGATAGCAACGGTGATGGAAAAATTGATGCTGCATATTTCCCCAATCGGCAGTTGAAAATGCAGCAAGATATGCTGAATCGTGTGGTATGGCAGTCACGAACACGTATTGCTAACCGTGTTTATGCCGAGCTCCCAATCAGCTTGGAAACTGAACAGAATGTAGACCTTGCGATGTTGACGGCTGACTTGGTAAAGAATAATAGCTCGATTGAAGGGTTAATGTTGGATACGGGTTCGATGCTAGACTGCGCGATTGGTCAGCAAAAATGGACTCCTAATTGCGAAGCTCAAGTAAATCGCGTCTTCAAAATCAAAGAGCGAACCAAGGAGCAGGCAAAGTACTATGCCAATATCAGTAATAATTACCAAACAGCGCTGAAAGTTAATTTAGAACAAACCCAGTTAGACGGTTTAAAGCCTTTATTAGACTATACCTTAGAGTATGCAGATTTTCTTTATGTTGAGCTAGATCCTATCCAACAACCAGAGGTATTTAATGCCTTTGTTAAACAACTTAAAACTTTGAATGAAAAAGAGCAGCAGTATTTGATTGCGAGCTTTAATGTCCCAACTCCGCTTAGCACCCAACAGGTAAAACAGCTCAAAAAGAGTTATCAACAACTGAGAAGTTTAGCGATTCAAAAAGTAGGTGTAAATAATTACAGCTTTAATCTTGCGAAGGTGATTCATCAAAATTTTTACCCTGAGCTGAGTTTAAATAGCAGCCCATTGAATTACCGCGATCCATTTACTCAAAAAGTTTTGGAGAAAAAATAATGCAATGGTTATTTAATTTAAGATTTAGCGACTACTATTTTGGTTTTGCATTTTTATATCCACTCTTTATGGCTTGGCTATGGATTGCAGGCGGAATATGGTTCTATTTAAAACGTGAATATCGGGAGAATGATGTTCCACAACCAAGTGAGCATGCCTGTAGTATTTTGATTCCTTGTTTCAATGAAGAAGATCAAGTTCGAGAAACCATTAAATACGCCATGCAAACGCAATATCCTGACTTTGAAGTGATTGCGATTAATGATGGCAGTAGCGATAAAACCGCTGAAATTCTAGATGAGTTACAGCAAACCTACTCACGTTTACGTGTGGTGCATCTGGCTGAAAACCAAGGAAAAGCTTATGCACTAAAAGCGGGAGCTATGGTCAGTCAGCATGAATATCTGATTTGTATAGATGGTGACGCTTTATTGCACCCACATGCTGTGCTATGGATGATGCACCATTTAACACGATTTCCACGTGTGGGGGCTGTGACGGGGAACCCTCGAATTATCAACCGTTCAAGTATTTTAGGCAAAATTCAGGTCGGTGAGTTCTCATCTATTATTGGTCTCATTAAACGTTCACAACGGACTTATGGTCGGATCTTTACAGTGTCTGGGGTATTGGTCGGATTCCGTAA